ATTATACTTATTTTAGTTTAGTTTAAAATGTATATTGTTTTATTATTTTTACGACATGTTTTATCATTCCGTTTTGTTTTTTATTCATATGTCTATATGTAAACGTCACCAACGACTCACTCGTACGGTCTCACGTGCTATTATATTAATTGGTGTCCAAAAATCGAAAGTCAATGTTTATTTGAATTTCAATGATCGTTTCTGTGGCGAAGGGCCATCGGGCTCCAAGAAAGTGGAAACAGCGAAAGTGGTTTATCGGGATCGAAAGTTTACCGCGACTGTGCCGTGTCAGTTTTGGTAATATTCGGTCAATCGATAACTGTCTATGTTTGAAGTTTGACTAAATGTCTCCTTTCCTGTCCGGTGTTAAAGGCTTGCCTGCCTGCGATCTTATTTTGGAACATTAAAACTGTAAACATTCATTAGCAGCTATCATAACAGGACTTCGAAATTAACATTAACAGAATTTTATGTATATTTCCTACAATAAAAGTAATGTGATTTTACGTTTTAATAACTGTCATATAATGAGAGTGTGTTGTAGTCACTGCTGCAATTTAATTAATATATTAAAAATACAGAGATTATTCCTAAATAAACCTTATTAAAATTATGGGTTTTTTGTTGAAACATAAAACCGACAAGTAATAACGAGACGTATCATTTAAATGAAACTCGTTGAATTTAATTGAAGACAAAAAAATAACAAAATCCACAGAAAATGACAAACAGAATCCGATACGAAGGTCGTTTCCTTTTATGTAAAAAACAGGATCAAAGTGACCTTGTGTAATATCTCCTTTTACTTCACCATTTTAATACATGCGCGGTGTATTTCGTCCATACAAAGAGCCTCGGTCACCGCCGTGGTATGCCTTGCGCGTGCGCATCCCGTTACGCTAGCGTTTTTGCGCTGAATACAGCTATGTGTAGGGTTACCAAAATATGATTACATTCTTGTTACTTAATATTGTACTGACAGATGTTATGTTAGTGCGATGTATATACATTGAATTTTACAAAATTTTAATCTGAATTAATGAAGTTTCAGACGTGATATAATAATAATATTATCTTTTAAAATAATTATGTGTAAAATTATCTGTTCTTATAATCACTATATTATTTATTTGTTAATTGTATTACATATATATGTCAATAGTTTCGCTTATATGTTCAACCCTGATGCGTCATCGTAGCGGTCAACTACTGTGATTGTTATCATCATGTTAAATGCAAGAGATAACGTCATGTGTGTGTATCATTAGCATGCATATATGATGTACATGCATGCTCTGCACTAGTTGCTTCACACAGCTTCAATATACGACGAATGATGCAAACAAGCGATCCCTATATATATTTTAACTTGATCTAAATTTATTTGTTTACCCCCCTCCCCCCCTCGTTCAAGTCCCAATTTCAAATGTCGTTCTTCATCAGACCAACAACTCTTTCTTGTGACGCCGTCAAAGATAATAGGGCCAACAGCATTAGACACGTGGAGACAAAAGAGATATTTATTATTTACACTCTCAAAAATAGATTTTTTTAATAGTATTTATGTTAAAAAAGATTTAAGTCTAAACAGTAATAAAAAGCATGTATTTTTTTTATTATTTCATACTAAGACGAGTATAGTTCTTATAGACCTATGTAACTCGCTCACCATTTACTGTTTCTAGTTATTTAGGATTTAACAACGCACTGAATCATATCAAAATGAGGTCACATTAATTTCACCTCAGACATTGCGCCCTTAGACAATGAGAGGCGGTATCTAAGATTTTGAACTCTATTCTGATAGCAATAAAGCCGTTATGGTTGATCGGGAGGTATCTGTCATGCCTCGTTCCAGTATAGAAAGTGTCTCATACTAGAGTGACTCTGTCTTTAATAACATGGAAAACAAGATATTTACATTCTTCATTTAATTATCAGCATCTTTATATTAAAAAAATAATTCTAAATATTACATTGTATTCAATATATTCTACAATTTATTTATCTTCTATATATATAAAAATGGATTGCTGTTCCTTAGTCTCGCTAAAACTCGAGAACTCCTGAACGGATTTATCTTATCTTAGTCTTGAAATGTTCGTGGAGGTTCAGGGAAGGTATAAAAGCTGAGAAAAATTGATTCATTACTGGGAAAACCATAAAAACAGCCCTTTTCTATTTCCCATACAAACGTTTTTTTTGACATTAGATTTGACAACTAACTAATATGTCAATCATTCTGTCGCACTTCAAAACACGCAGATTTATGGCTTACTGCTTACAGGTAAACTCCAAAAATATAAATAAAAAAACGTTATAGATATTTCTTGATTACAGGGCGATACGAAGTTCGCCAGGTCTTCTAGTATTCTAATAATTATTTTCTTATAAATGTAATTATAGTCTATTGATTTTTAAAATGAAATTAGCTATTTTTTTGCTATAGAAATATTTTTTTTAGTAAAGTAGTGATGGTGTATACATTATAGTCACCCTGTTGATACACGGACTGTTGTTCCCGATCTCAATAAGTCTTGGAGCTCGATAACAACACAGGATACCATTCATTGTAATACAACACTTAGTATCAGAATATCATTTCATACAACACTCACAAACACATATCTAGATCTTAACACAGAAACTAGAACATTCACACTAGCTTGTTAAACACGTATTATTCTGTAAAAGTTTTTTTTTCTTTAAAACCTTCTTAGGTTACTAGACATAGCTCCAATGCAATTGATACTGCAATTTAAATACGTAACACTTCCGGTTGTTACAGTTCCAAACAGCGATCTAGGATTACAAGAAATGACTGGATTTTTTTTGGATAATTATTGATAAAATTACGACATTTTTTATATATATCTTATATTGCGTGTAGATTTAAAAATCGGATAATAGAAACAAAAAAATATATTTTTATTGCTTTAGTATTGTTACATTATCTTCTATAAGTTATTTTTTCTGTCAAAAATCGATATTTCAATTTTACGCATAGCGGCTGTTCGATTATTTCCGAAAAAATAATAATAACAAAACAAATCCCGGTATCGATCCGCCGATAGACGTATGACTGCGATCAGTTGTGTTCAAAACATCGAGCGAGACGGACGTGCGGCTATTGGGAAATAGTTGTAAAGTGCGTGTTAATTAACAATAAAACTTACCGTTGATTATATTATACAAATATTGTGTTACATCACGTGGTTTATATAATTTCATGTGATTCAGTGGTTTTATATTATCGAAATATTACATCTAAAAAAAAGGTACTTGATATATTATACTTAAGGACAATATACATTTGTCACACAACCTTCACAATCACTATATTTCTTTAACATTCATAATTACTTGCTGCCAGCTGAATGTCACGTAAATTATTTACTCAGTAAGGTACCAAAACAAATTCTTGTACAATTACTATCAGATAAAACTCGTTACACTAAACTCGAATGAGTTCTCTTCAAATATTTTGTTATAAGCATCATCTTTGTTATAAACTGTATACGTCTTCATATAATCCGAGGAGTGACGCTATCTTAAGTATAGATAAGAAACAGATAAGAGATCTATCGAGATTTTATCATTCAATAAGTCGTATATTATTGCACAATGTTAGCATCCGTAACGCGTACTATCTGTTGCATCTAGAAAGATCTCAAAACTAGTATTTAAATCTATCTATAACGAAAGATCGAAAACTAAGAACATGTTCACGAAGTACAAAAAAAAGTAAAATATAACTAATTATAAGTATTTTTTTAATTATGACATCGTTGACGTCACAATCCATTTCATTTAAATACCATTTTAAGCTATTTGCTAATAAGTCGATACCCTAATAGTACTTAAACATCGATGCTCCTTAAAGACTTGTACCTATGTTATAGCGATGCCTCTATGCTACAGTGAAGTAATAGGTTACGTGGAATGTGTTTAATTTCGCGTATCGGCTGCAACAACTTCCTCTAACATCTCAGTTTGCAAATCTCTAAGCCAGCTTTTGAATAATGTTTTATAAACGCCTCAATTACACACGATGTTTACAGTTATTTATTTTTGTCGTAAATTTTCTCAGTAATAGCGAATTCCTGATGTTAATTAAAAACGCCGACACCAAATAAAGAGCATCATTGTTTTTATATTTGCCCTTGTAATGGTCCCGGTATGCTAGGTGTAGGATACCTGAGATTTTCTCAGAAACTGTTTAAGGGTACTTGTAAGTGACATCCGTTAAATAACTACTACTTTGTTTGTGTAACTCATTTCTATAATTATAATTAAATTAATGAGCTCGTAACTACAGGCACCAAGTTACTCGTACATAATTAATTGATGTACGACAAGCTTTAAATACTTACTTCTTTGTATATGTAGCGAAAAGTTTAAAAATACTAGCAATTAAAAACAAAAGACTTGCAATTTTAGACTTGTGATTTTAATCAATCGAAGCAGCCCTAGTAGGTTCATTTCAAATTTGGTTAGGTAGAGAGAGGAGCTTGGACAGTGGAGGTGAGCGTTACATAGGTGCCCTTAAACCTACACCTGGGTCGCAAGTCTCAGACACTGTTGAAGCTCCTCTCCCTGTAACTATGGACCCGGCACCCACAAGGTGAACCCATTGAACAATAAAGACGTTTTGTGTCTAATTTTCTGCCTGTTATTAGTCAACCATAGCAGTAATATAAAAAAAAAACATAAAGTATATTTTAGTTCATATAACTTAAAAATCATAGTACCTTCCTTAATTATGTTATTTCTGGTCTAATAGTCTAACATTCAATTCAAACTCAAATAACTTTATTCAATATAGAAGCATTACACTTTTTTATTGATGGTCACTTGAGACACTACCAATATGTAAAGCTATCCATATATATAGTCACCACCACAAGCATGATCCTACGAGTATTTATCTCTGTCTGAAGTCTGTGTTTCCTCACCAGGTCCATAATGTCGAGGCTGGTCCAGTGAAGAGTGATGCGACCATGCCGTCGGACAGCACCTGGTCCCCGCCCGCCTCTAGCGAGCGCCGGCTCAGCAACTCCTCAGATGGAAGTGGCAGCGGCAGCGGCTACTCTAAGGCGGTGAGTATCATTAATAGTACAGCAATAAGCAGCAGGATTTATTGAAAAACCTTTAGTATATATACGTCCAGCACAACCTATTTATGTTTACTAGCTGCGCCCCGCGGTGTTACCCGTGGATTTCCGGGATGTAAAGTAGCCTATATGTTATTCCTGGACGTCAACTTCCTGTATACAACATTTTATCAAAATCGGTTCAGCCGTTTGAGCGTGAAGAAGTAACAAACATACACACACACTCACAAACTTTTGCAATTATACTATTAGTAGGATTAGCATTAGTTATCCTAATGAGATCTAAGACTTTCGCGAGTATTCATTTAAATGAAACTAATTTATTGCACATTATTACGCGTATTTTATTATTGTAAGAACAAAATACTCCCTACGTTTCGATCACTTTTCAGCAACCGTGATCACGAGCAGACGAGATTTGAATGTCAATGACATACGTATGGCAATCTGAATAATATTAGTTTCATTAGTTATCCTATGTGCTGATTTTATCAAACAATTTCCTACTACTTGAAAAACATACCTATCTTTATGTTGTATTGCACTTGCAATCATTATTATTAATGACACATCTTTATACTATTATAATTTCCTAAGTAATTCCTGGCAACATAATATAATTCTTAGTCAACATTTATTTAATGTATACCTATATTAACTAATTTTCTGTACATTAGTGTAGAAAAACGAATTAAATTTACTGAAATTCAAAATTCTAACGTGTTATTTGGAACACACCACGTCCTGTCTCGATAAAGTATCGGAAAATGGTTAATTGTCGCAGTTACAAGGCATTAATTCACCGGAACTCACTTGTCAATAGTACATGAGTTTTACATACCTTTATATATGATAATTACGATGAGAAAAACGTGATCACATCACTGTAATATTTAGCTTATTCATGCTTCATTATATGAATAATGACAAATTATTATATCTAGAAAAGGCGTTATTACGCATCGGCTAATTAAAACGGAAAATATTTATTAATAAGCCTTTATTTTAAGTGAGACCTCCTTCGTGAAGGAATGTTAGTAAAACAAACAAGAATAGGCCAAAGTTCTAAATATAATGTTCAGTTTGAATCCTTTACTTCCAATAAGACTTTCGTAATATATATATATTGAAATATTTAATGTACAGATGTTGGTATGTTATAATTTTTTTAGCCCTGACATAAAATGATATATGATAAAAGTCTGTCTTTGTGTGTTTGTCTGTGGTGCCATAACTCGAAGGGATTTACAGATTTCGATGCGGTTTTTTTTTCATTTTAAAACTAGCAACGGTGGTTTCATACCTATTTTTCGTGAGTACCAGTCTAACTGTGGAGCGTAAGAAAATCAGCTCTTCCAAAATTATGTATTTTTTTTCTTATGTTTACTGGACAGTGAATCACGCGTGCCAGTATAATCGTCAAATGAAAATGAATACTAAAAGGTTTTTTTAATTTCTATATGATTTTGTTACTTCAAGGCCTAGGCGTACTTCCATAGAAATAGAGGTAGTATTTACTTAATCAATTACTATCACAATCCTATACGATACAACACATTTTAAAATATCAGTTCCATTGGGATCAATTTTGATATAGTATTAAGTACGGTTAGACCTTTGAAAATTCTCTCTCAGAATAAGTCCAACTTCATGTACAATAAATCAATAATTTGAAGTTAATAAAGGACTATTTCGGTTTATTTTTTAAATACTAATATAGTATTAATTAATGTCGTCAGTACATAAGAGATGGGAGCGCCGACCTCCCTCAATCACATCAACATACCACAACTTAAGGCTCTATCACACTAACAGCATTAAAAATATCATAATAATTATACGTATACAGAAATCCCTAACGTGTAATATATTTTTTATTTTCTCTATGAATAATGCGTATTTTTTATTAAAACTAATAAATAATAATAACCAATATGTATATTTTGAAATGCTAAACGACAGTAATTTCTTACTGCTAATATAATTCTTCCCGTTGTAGTGTAAACACATCTTTAAATTCTCCGCACCTGTCCGACTGCAGCTGACATTTGCTTTGACCTTCGACGCTCCTACAGTGTACAGCATCACTATCACAGACAAATAGAGATCTTATTAAATATGTGATTGAGACTATATTTGTATATACGAGATTTTGTGGTCCAAATGCTAAGGATGCGATACATTATATAGACGGGCGATCGATACGATGAAATCGATTTAATATTTTTTCAACCTTGCAACGCTTTTATTTCATTCGACCTTATATTTTATTGAGGTGATACATCGATCTATTCGATTGTTCTGAACGTACAAATATCGATATTACATAAAAGTAAATAAATTAAAGGTGATATTTATTAATATTGTGATGATTTTTTTTATAATGATTATAATTGTTCATGATAAAAGTCACAAATGACGTAAATAACGTAGGCTTTTTTATTTCCAAGGCGACCGGCCTTTCACTCCGGATACAGGGATGTGGGGTTGGTTATTATAATTACAAAGATATGTATATTTAATTTAAAACGAAAATGTCCTGAACCAGGAACACGGCAGTGACAAAAAGCGAACACCATTATGACCTTTACTCAAATATATAAAAGTAACTGATTTCTATATAAGGCCACTATAGCTTAATTAGAAAAGTTGTGTTTTTATTGTCTTAGGTTCTAGTCCTGTTGATGTATTTTTGATGTGTGAAAATATATTTTTTTAAATTTAACTCTGGTTATTGTGATATATTAATTATACGTTTAATACAACTTCAAGTCGAAATAAAGGGAAAGTCGGCATCTAGGAAGCATTTGTGACCGCATACCGCAGTTGACAAACTAACAATATCTCCTTACATACAAATGCCGTACACATATAACCAATGCCTACGTAATAGGGTTCAAATTCCTACACAGCCGGGTGTCTCGACCGGCATGCAAATTCGATTGTTAAGTGACAGCTATTGTTATGCGAATAAGGGTGATTTTTGTTTAATTGGAGCGTAAAACAAGTTAGTATTAGGGTCAAGAGTGTTTCCTGGTTAACCGGTCACCTTGTTTTATCGATGGGAGATAAAATTCAATTGTAATCTGGTTCTGATTAATGTACTAAGAAAGCCGTAGATTAATGCCTTTAACACTATTATTATACATTTTATATTATGAACTTTCTTTTCGCCGGACTAGCAGATTTATATTCATCAAGTTATATAAAAATTGTAAATTTGAAAAGTATCTCTGAAAAATTAAATGTAACACGCTTTATGTCCATTTAAAACACACAATTATGTTGTTAAGTCTTATGAGCTTACTGTTTTCATTAGCGGACGAGTTCTGTGAGGCTACATAATATAGCACGATTTCATAACGACTTTCATTCCGCGATTCTAACTGAAATGCTAACCAAAATATAACAATCTACCTACAGAACGCTCGTCTTTAGACCTAGTAAGACGATTATAATTTTATATATTGTATTTCTTAGTAATGTAGGTTGACTATTTCTGCAGTTTCTATAAAAAAACATGACGTTATTGCAAATAGATTAATTGATTTAACGTATAGAGGTTAATAGATAACCCGTAGTGACATTGACATACATATAAGTATGAGCAAACAAAGATGTTTACTTGTGAAATTTTCCCATTATCGATCTCATCTATTGTTCGTAATTAATTATGTACAAGTTGAGTAATATAATGCAAGATGTATAGTGCAGGTATTTGCATAAATTAAATATATTCTTCTTCTACCTGGCAATTTCCCAGCTTCAGCCAGGGTCTGCCTTGCATGTTGTGTATATTTTTGGCTAATTGTTTTTACGACCGGCCGCTTGCCTGACATCAACCCTTTTTGGGAATGCATTAATCAATGATGTCTAAATACTCTTAGAAAGTCTATATGACTCCGAAAAAATCGCATTGGTACTAGCCAGGATCGAACCCGCGCCCTCATGCATGAGAGGCGGGCCTTTTAACCACTAGGCCACCACTGACTAAAATTAAATTAAATATTTCATTGTTAACAGTTAAAGTATAACTTTATTGAATATCAATCTGTTTGAATTAGGTTTCAGTGTCAATTGTCTATTCATATATAGTTGCTGAAATCACACCTCTTTCTCAGTTCTCAGTGTCGGGCCCGCTCGATGTGTGCATAGCCTTATTCACACTATTAATATGTAACTCGCATGCACATACAGACACTTATATGGCACGCTCTAGATCTTTAAAGACCAAAACGTAATGTTGATCTAACCATACTTTTTATTGTACCTAACAATATAATTAACTATATATATACATAATGTTATACTTTTATCGTATTCTATTTTACGATATATATTGTATAAAATTTCACTTAACCATTATTTATAAGTATTTCGAATTCAATAATTATCGGTATTTTTGTCTTTGTCTTAAGTAGGTTAAATTACAGTCAGTCTACAACCTGGCTTTTGATTATATTCTTATGTATACCTTTATTTCTTTACACCTTTTATTATCATTATAAAATATATGTATAAGTAATACATCCAGTCGTGTTTAGTTACAACTAAATATTAAAGGTTAACAACTCCCTAACTAAAGTATGCAATATAATATATATACAATAACACATAAACAACGTTTCATAACTCCAAATAATATATTGTTATAATAGCAATATATTATTATTCATTTGTTTATATTTTTACTGATTGCCACCTACTTACTAGCTATGTATAACTCTGTGCCTGTTAAAATATAATAGTTCTTTATACACTTCTAACGCGTTTAATGTTTTCTTCATTTACTTACTAGTTTTCCGCCCGCAGTTTCGCCCGCGTCGAGTTCGGTTATATCGCGTTTTCAAAAGAACCTTTCAAAAGTCTAGGATAAAAACTATCCGATGTTCTTTCTCAAGGTCAACTCTATCTCTGTACCAAATTTCATTAAAATCAATTCATTGGTTTAGGCGTGAAAGCGTAACAGACAGGCAGACAGAGTTACTTACGCATTTATAATATTAGTAGGGATTATTACCTACACCACTCAAAGTCAGGGAAATTCGATTAAGTATTTCCTATAGTATATGTTTTTATTAAAATTATAAGCCGGAGAAATTTCCTCAAGTCCATAATTTATCGCGTTTTATATGATAAGGAAACGACAGTTGTTGATGTTTACGAGGGAATTCATCACGTCATAAATTTTATGCCACTGATTATAAATTGGAAAGATAAAAAAATATATGTGTCATTGTCATATTGAGAAAATTAAGCGGAATTAATAAATAATTTAAAAATTATTTGAAGAAGTAGATATTCTTATAGTCTTTAAAGAAGTATCGCTTCTGACCAAATGCTTCGAATACTATTGAAAGGTCGAACAACATCGACTGGAATGCATAAATGTCATTAATTTATTTTATTGAACAACATGACTTTGGGTATATTAAAATGATCAAATACTGAGATTAATTTTACAACGTTTTGTTCATAAACTTCATAGTATTTCCAAATTTTCCACTCGGAGGTCGTCACTGCCATTCATCATCCCGCCAGCTTCAATGACCCTCTAAAATGATTAAATTCTTTAAAGTTTTCTGTCAGCCGTGTGATTACCATCGGCCTTCTGCGTCTGTCATCAATTGTGTTTTGAAATGACTACTGTGAAGTAAACAATAACTCAATTGAGTCTTTGTTATTAATGTGCATTTTAACCACGGTGTGAAATATCTCGTGTGTATTTTGTTTATAATTTCAAGCCACTTATCACAGTTTTTTTCTTATTTTCGATGGTGTCTTATCGATGGTGGTGACCACTTACCACTTCAATCGGAACGGTATATACACTGCCGGCCAAAAGTTTGAGACCACTTGTAAAAATCTTATTCACCAACAAAATATTTCAAAAGTGCATATGACAAATAGCTGATTTGAATATCTGCGTATTCTATAGTTACTAAACTACTAATTATTGTCATTCTTTTCGTATATTTGTAAGTTATGATAGCGCGTAGTGATGATAGAGCTTACGGTCCCTTGGGAAACCAACATCCCCAAAGACCATACCATCAAGGTCAACAAATATTACGAGCTCACAAACGAACTCACTCGAAATAGGTTCGTAGTAGATTTGTACGCGGTAGAGGTGGGAGCGAGAGGTATAACAGCGAAATCTCTCTACAACCTACTAAAGGACTTGGGCTTGTCCAGAACTCACATTAATGCATTCTTGGAACGTATATCGAAGGCAGCCCTAGTAGGTTCTTTTCAAATTTGGTTAGGTAGGGAGAGGAGCTTGGACAGTGGAGGTGAGCGTATAACGCGCGTTAGTTAAGGGGCCCCTTAAACCTACACTTGGGTCGCAAGTCCCAGGCACTGTTGAAGCTCCTCTCCCTGCAACGCGATGGACCCGGCACCCGCACGGTGAATCCATGGAATGCTTAGTAGTTTCGTCTCATAAAGGTCTATTGTTACAAAACATTAATGAATGCCGCGCAGAGACCAGATGGTAGAGTCATTGTAATATTTTTATGAGCTGCTCATTACTAATAATTTCGGTGTTGTTTCAAGTTCAGGATTATATTAGCTTTCTAAAAAAACATATGTTCAGGATTATTTTCGCTTTCTATAACATATTTTTTACCTGAGTTTTTATAAAATTAAGTTTTGGTTAGTCTGAGCTCGTCACTGTTAAAGAAAACACTTAAAATGGGTAAAGTGCGCGAAATTAGCAGTGAAACTCGTTGTACCATAGTTGTTTTACACAACGAAGGTAAATCTGAACGTGCGATTGCCTCTCAACTTAAGTTGTCGAAGACTTGTGTTCATAACACAATAGCCCGATACAAGGAGACTGGCAGTTATCGAGATCGTTTGCGATCGGGAAGGCCGAGAGCTACCACTTCTAGCGAGGATAAATTTATCGTCGTTACCAGCAAGAGGAATAGACGCCTAATAGCACCAGAAATCCGCGCAGAAGTTAACAAATCCCGGTCTAAACCTGTATCACTGACTACAGTAAAAAGACGATTGAGAGATGCTAACTTATTTGGTCGCGTTGCTGTTCGAAAACCACTACTTAGGCCACAAAACAAAAAGAAACGGTTGCAGTGGGCCCTT